AAGAACACGGTCAGTATTTCTCAAGCTGGGAGAACTAAAGAAAAAAATTTAAGCCTCGACTTCATTATTGAAAGATTCTCTGGGTAAATTATTGAATGAGGCAGAAAGCATCCAGAGAAGATGGAAGGAATACACAGAGTCACTGTACCAAAAGGAAATGGTTAATGTTCAACAATTTCAAGAGGTACCATATGATCAAAAGCCAATGATACTCAGGAAGGAAGAACAAGGTGCATTGAAAGAATTGGCAAAGAACAAGGTACCAGAAATTGATGGAACAAAAATTGAAATCTTTCAAGAAAGTGAGGCAGCACAGGAGGCATTCACTTAGCTATGTCAAGAAATTTGGAGGACAACTATCTGGTCAACTGATTGGAAGAGATCCCTATTTGTGCCCATTCCAAAGAGAGGTGACACAACGGAATGCAGAAAGCATCGAACAATCTCTTTGATATCCCATGCAAATAAAATTTTGCTAAAGGTAATACAGAAAAGGCTACAATCATACATTGACAGAGAACTTCCAGAGGTTCAAGCTGTATTAAAAAGAGGCCATGGAACGAGAGATATCATTGCTGATGTCCGATGGATCTTGGCTGAAAACAGAGAATATCAGAAAGATGTTTATCTGTGCTTTATTTACTACGCAAAGGCTTTCGATTTTGTGGATCAAGACAAACTATGGACAACATTGAGAAGCATGAGTATTCCAGAACATTTCATTGTATTCATGAGGAATCTGTACCTGGACCAAGAAGCAGTTGTTCAAACAGAGCATGGGAAACACTCAATGTTTTAAAATTAAGAAAGGTGTGCAACAAGGTTGTAGTCTTTCTCCATACTTATTCAACCTGTATGCTGAACAAATAATACGAGAAGCTGGGTTATATGAAGAAAAACTTGGTATCAGGATTGGAGGAAGACTCCTTAACAACCTGCAATATGCAGATGATACAACCTTGCTTGCCGAAAGTGAAGAGAATTTAAAACATTTATTGATGAAGATCAAAGAGCACAGCCTTAGGTATGGATTACATCTCAATGTCAAGAAAACAAAAATCCTCACCACTGGACTAATAAACAACATTCTTATCAACAGAGAAAAGACTGAAATTGTCAAGACTTCATTCTTCTTGGATCAACTATCAACACTCACGAAGCAGCAGTCAAGAGATCAGACAACAAACATATTGCATTAGGCAAATCTACTGCACAGGAACTTTTTAAAGTGTTGAAGAGCAAAGATTTCAGCTTGAGGACTAAGATGCGTCTGACCCAAGCCATGGTATTTTCAATAACCTCATATGGATGTGAAAGCTGGACAGTGAAATAAGGAAGATTGTAGAAGAATTGATGCCTTTGAATTATGGTGTTGGAGGAGAATACTAAAAGTGCCATGGGCTGCCAAAAGAGCCAATAGATCTGTTTTGGAAGAAGTGCAGCCAGAGTGCTCCTTAGAGGCCAAAATGACCAAACTTCGTCTCTCGTACTTTGGACATATTGTAAGGAGGCAACAGTTACTAGAGAAAGATATCATGTTTGGTAAGATGGAGGTCAGAGAAAAAGAGGAAGACCCCCAATGAGATGGATTGGCCAGGTGACATCATCGATGGACTCAAGTGTGGCAACAGTAGGGAGGTTCACCCAGGATCAGATATTGTTTCATTCTGCTGTGTATAGGGTCACTATGAGTCGATGCCGACTTGATGGCACCTAACAACAACAACAACAGTCTGAAATTGGTCAAACATGCAATTAAGATATGTTGATAATTACTGGTGATTGGAAAGCAAATGTTGGAAACAAAGTCAAAGGATCAATAGTTGGAAAATACAGCTTTGGTCATAGTAATGATACTGGTGATCCCACAATAGAATTCTCAAAACCAATGATTTCTTCATTACAAATACCTTTTTTAAAAACAACATAAAAGATGATTCTACACATGAACCTCAACAGATAGAAATCAAATTGACTACATCTGTGGAAAGAGGTGGTAAAAAGCTCTATATCATAGCCAAAACAAGGTCATGGGCAGACTTTCGAAGAGGCAATCAATTGTTCACAAGCAAATTCAGGCTGAAGCTCAAGAAAATTAAAACAAGGCCATGAGTACCAAAATATGACCTTGAATATATCCCACCTGGATTTAGAGATTATCTCAAGAACAGATTTATTGCAATAGACACTAAAGATCAAAGATCAGAAGAGTTGTGGGATGACATCAAGCACAATATACAGAAAGAAAGCAAATATTGTTAAGAAAACATAGAGGAAGGAAAAGATCAAAATGGATGTCCAAAGAAACTCTGAAACTTGCTCTCCAGCATAGAGATGTTAAAGCAAATGGAAGAACAAAGGAAGTACAGGGCTGAACAGAAAATTTTAAAGGTCAACTCAGGAATAAAAAGTCAAATATTATTTTAAAAATGTGCAAAGACTTAGAGTTAGAAAAACAAAAAGGAAGAACATGCTTAGCATTTCTCAAGCTGAAGAATCTGAAGAAAAGTGTCAGGCCTCAACTTGAAATATTGAAGGATTCTTTGGGAAAAAATATTGAATGATGCAGAAAACATCAAAGGAAGTTGGAAGGAATACACAGAGTCACTGTATCAAAAGGTAGAAGAGGCAGCATATGATCAAGAGCCAATGATACTGAAGGAAGAACTCCAAGATACTTTGAAGGCATTGCTCACTTATCTATGCCAAGAAATTTGGAAGACCTTGCCAACTGACTGAAAGAGATCAAGATTTCAAAGAGGAACTCTGATGCTCTCTCCTCCTGAAAGGAGAACTCCTTCAAAGAGTTCCTCTTTGAAATGGTGACCCATCCATGGAAACCATCAGGCAATATCATTAATATCACATGCAAGTGAAATTTTGCCAAAGATAATACAAAAATGGCTGGAACCATACATTGACAGAGAACTTCCAGAGGTTCAAGCTAGATTCAGAAGAGAACATGGAACAAGAGATACCACTGCTGAGGTCAGATGAATCTTGGCTGAAAGCAGAAAATACTTAAAAGATGCCTATAGACTATAACAAAAAGATGCTTTATTGACTATGCAGAAACTTTTGATTGTGTGGATCATGAAAAGCTATGAAAAAATTGTGTAGAATGAGTATTCCAGAACACTTAATTGTGCTCATGAGGAACCTGTATGCCAAGATGCATTTGTTCAGACAGAACAAGGGAAGACTGAATCATTTAAAATTAGGAATGGTGTACACCAGGGTTTATTTTTTCACCATACCTATTTAATTAGTATGCTGAGCAAATATTCAGAGAACCTGGATTACATGAAGAAAAACACGACATCAGGATTGGGCAAATATTCATTAACAACCTGAGATATGCAGATAATACAACCTTGCTCGTTGAAAGTGTGGAGGACTTAAAATACTTACTGATGATTATCAAAGACCACAGCCTTTGGATAGGGTTACACATCAATGTAAAGTAAAAAAAAAAAAAAAAAGAATCCTCACCACTGGACCAATAAACAACAAGGAGATAAATAGAGAAAAGTTTGAAGTTGTCAAAGGCTTAATTTTGTGCAGATCAACCATAAACAGTCTTGGAAGCAGCAGTCAAGAAATCAAACAACATATTGTATTAGGCAGATTTGCTGCACAAGACCTGTTTATAGTGTTGAAGAGCAAAGACGTAGTTTGAGGATAAAGGTGCACCTGCCCCAGCAATAGTATTTTCAATAATCTCAAATGCATATGAAAGTTGGACAGTGAATAAGGAAGACTGTTGAAGAACTGATGCATTCACGTTATGGTAATGGAGGAGAATATTAAAAATATCATGACCTGCCACAACAGCAAACCAATCTGAGTTGGAAGAAGTACAACCAGAAATCTCCTTGGAAGTCAGGCTGGACAGACTTTGTCTCTTATACTCCAGGGACCAACCCCTGGAGAAGTATATCATGTTTGGTAAAGTGAAGGGTCAGAGAAAAAGAGGAAAACCCCCAAATGAGATGTATTGGTACAGTGGCAGCAGCAATGGGCTCAAATGTAGCAATGATTGTGAAGTTTGTGCAGGACCAGGCAATGTTTCTCTCTATTGTGCAAAAGGTCACTATGAGTCGGTAGTAATTCAATGGTACAAAACAACAAAAAGTTGAATAAAATAAACTGTATAGCTAGAGTGTGGATAATTTTTGACTCACCCTCATATACTAAACCAAATGCATATGAGAATATTTCCCACAGAAAATGAGAAGTTTTGAGGAGTATAATATTTTATGCTGTGTGTTTTGGGTTTTTTTTAAGCCCAGAGATTTCATGTGACAGAGTAGAACTGCCTTTATAGAGTTTTCTAGTCTGCCATCTTTACAGTAGCATATCGCCAGATCTTTTTTCCTGAGAATCCAATGGGTTAGTTTGAACAGACAGTCATTTGGTTAGCAGTCAAGTGCATAATCTTTTTGCCACCAGGTCTCCTTTTATAGCTATTTAAGAAGCATTAGATTTGCTTTAGAAAAAAAACATAGTAAAATAAATACTACATACTTTCAATGAGATGGATTGGCCAAGTGGCAGCATCGATGGACTCAAGCATGGCAACAATAGTGAGGTTGGCCCAGGATCAGGCAGTGTTCTGTTCTGCTGTGCATAAGGTCGCTATGAGTTGGTACCGACTCGATGGCACCTAAAAACAACAACTACTTTGTATTATAGCCTCTCACTAACAGTCCAGAAAACCAGCCCCTAGTAAAGACAATATCCATTTTATTGAAAATCTAGGGAACTCATGCCATGACTTAACCAGTAATGGGTGTTCTAATGACGAGAACCTTTAGACATAGGACTTATATGCATGTGAATTTATAGGCTGACTTACCTTACAGAAGAAACGAAGATAATGCAGATGTTTTCTAAGGTTACATTTGAGCCTGTAACTTAACATGACTTGATAAGTTCTATTCCCATCAAATGTTTGATACGCATTTTATCTTTCCACAGGGCCTGGAGATTCTCAAGGTATGGCCAGACTTTCCATCTTGCACTTCATCCTGCTAAGTGTTTTGATTGACAGGAGTCAAACCTGCTTTTGTGATCATTACCCATGGACTCAGTGGTCCAGCTGCTCACAAACTTGCAATTTTGGAACCCAAAGTAGAAAGAGGTGAGTGTGAACTATATAGCTTTTCTTTATGTCCTGGAGAATCTCAAAGAATGTCTCAGTAATATCAGAATTGGAAAAACAGAGAAAGTAAGAATTCACAAATTTAGATGGAATTTGAAAATTTTTGTACATAAATGTGAAATAAAGTCTATTTTGTGCGCTCCAAAAAATGATGGGTTTCAAAGAAATGCAAACTGGAACGCTACAATTCACTACTCAAGCTGTTTTTGTTTTTTTTAAATAAAAATATAGCATTGCTTGCATACACTTAGTAAGTTAATTATAGAGAAATTTCTATTCATTAAAGCATGTCTAACAGGACTTAGGAGTCCTGGTTTGTCATTGTAGGATAAGCACTGGACAACAAAATCGGTGGGTGATTCAAACTCACCAGCCTCTTCTGGAAACCCTATACAGGGCTGTGAGTTTGAACTAACTCTACGGCACTTAACAACAACAATAGAACTTCAGTTGAGCCTCATCATTAGCTGTTAGCCTTATTGTTGGCATGTACAAAATGATAAGTATATATGTGTTATCAAGCGCTTAATTGCCAATAATTAATAATTTAGACTTTTCATTAATTCAGACTACTCATTCCTTACGGTTTCTAGTATGTCATGGAGATGCTCACATTTTATTATACTTAAAATATTATAACACTTTCTGGACAGTGACATTAGAAAAAATATTTTGTATTTGTAGTGTGACTCATTAAGATCTTCAACTGACTTCCCCAGTAAGCCATGAGTCTTATTATGACACTATAGGGATAAGCACTGACCTGGTGACTACAAGGTCAGCAGTCCAAACCCACCAGTTCATCCTATACAGGGTCACCATAAGTGGGAACCAATTTGACTGCACTTAAAAAAACATCAACAGGCATGTGAAAACTGATCTATTGCTCTTCCCTCTGTTTAGAAAGCTTCAGTAGTGCTCTGTTGTTAGCTGCTATCTGTTCCATGAGTCCCATCAGAGTTGGCTTCATGAATGGTTCACTTATGCAGTCACTTAGGAAGGTTCCATGCTTGATCTGATGCTTAATGCATAATGCTCTAGCATTTCTGTCTTGAAATGGATAACTTTTTTAACATGGACTCTGTGCTTTCATTTTGTACTAGACCTCACAAATTAGGCATACAGTCCTATGTGCCAATAAATGGCAAGAACATCACAAAGGCCCACCCATTTGAATTTCCATGAAAACTTTCTTTCCTTTTATTCATGGTAGTTATTGCACAATGATGTCTTTCTTAGCAGGCAGAGCCATAGTGAATACACTCTTTCGAAACAGTTTTTTCTCCCTATTTCAGAGAAATAGTAGTAGACCAGTATTATGTGGATAACTTTTGTGACCAGATTTGCACCAAGCAGGAGATCAGAGAATGTAACTGGCAAGCATGTCCCATTAACTGCCTCCTGGGAGACTACGGACAGTGGTCAGAATGTGACCCTTGTGTCAAAAGACAGGTAAGTGGCTTATAAGTTTATCTAAGAAATCTGAATTGTAATAAAACACTCTGATTCCTAATAGGCTCAACCATGGCAGAAATTTTATTATTATTATTTTAGTTTATGAAAATAAATTGCCCCACCTTTCATTGAGGGGAATTTTCATTTAGTAATATTGGTGTGATAAGCGTGTTTCATTTAACATGTCTTACTCTCATGTTGGAGTCCTGGTGTGGCACTGTGGGTTAATGCCAGATTGCAAAGCCATTTGAACTTCAAGGTCATTGGTTCAAGCTCACCAGCTGCTTCTTGGAAACGCTACACAGGGTCACTATGGATCAGAACTAACTCGATGGCTCTTCACAAGAACAACAACAACAACTCTCATGTTAACTCCAAAAGGAAATCTCCCTCCAGATATGTATCTATCCAGCTCTGGAAGCTCAGAGAGCAAAAGCAGGAGCTGGGAAATAAAATTTTAGTCCAAGATTTAAAACTAGATAGAAATTAGCAAAGTGAATTAGTCTGAACATCCTGTCCTTCCTCTAATTTCCCTCTCCCTGTGAGAAAGTACACCCATTTGTTTACTATTCCTACCTGTAATATTTGTCCATTTCAAGTTCATTCCCGTAATGGTATTGGCACATGTGGACCCTGGACAGGTCACATGCTAAGCAGTCATATACTAGGTAAGAAAAAGAAACTCATTTTTGGAGCACTCACTCTATGTGAGAAATTATTCTATGCCCCTAACATGTTGTTGTTGACTGTTATTGAGATGATCATTAATTCATGAGGATCCCATGCATAGCAAAATGGAACTGGGCTCCATTCTGCTCCATGCCTGTGACCAGTTGTAAATCATAACATTGTGTTCCAACAAATTTTCTCTAGGTGATTTTAGGAAGCAGATTTCCAGGCATTTCTCCCTATTGTGTCTTTATTTAGAAGTTCAGTTAAAGTTGGTTTAACGTCATAGAAGCACACAAGCATCCACTGAAAAACAGGTAGTGACTATGCATGTGGTTAATTGGTAAAGAATCAAATGCAAGTCTCCAGCACGTTGTTGTTCTTAGGTGCCATCAAGTGGGTACCAACTCATAATGACCCTATGTACAACAGAATGAAACACTGCCCGGTCCTGCGCCAATATCATAATCGCTGCTATGCTTGAACCCACTGATGCTATCACTGGGCCAAATTACCAAACCTGATTTTAACTGTTTCCTCCTGACAATAGGCCCAAAGTATGAAAAACGAAGTCTGGCCATCCTGGCTTCCAAGGAGTACTCTAGCTATTCTCCTTCCAACACAGATATATTTGCTCTTTTGGCAGTCCATGGTACTTTCTATATTCACCTCCAACACCGTAACTCAAATGTGTCAATTCTTCTACAGTCTTCCTTATTTACTAACTAACTTTCACATGCATATGAAATTATTGAATATATCATGGTTTGGATCAGGCGCACTTTAGTCCTCAAACTGACATCTTTGCTCTTCGACGCTTTAAAAAGATCTTGTGCAGCAGATTTGCCCAGTGCAATACGTCGTTTGATTTCTTGACTGCTGCTTCCATGAGTGTTGATGGTTGATCCAAACAAAATGAAGTCATTGACAATTTCAAT